ACCATTAAATTCACGGTAATTTATATATATATATATATATATATATATATATATAATCTACATAATGAAATATCTAGTTATATAATCATCATACTGCAAATTAAGTGTAAATTAAGCATAAAATGAATTTTATGGCCTGTACACTTACCCTCACGACACATCTCTCCACCATAGAGTCCAGCCACTCGATGTAGGCTTCAATGGGTGACTGGTCCTCTAGCTGTCTGTCAAATTCTTGATACACTTTGAAAAACAACAGAAAACAGATAGACAGAGAGATTAACAATATATCTGAGTAGAAAGAAGAAATCATATGCATCCAAAATTAATAAAATTATTTTTATTTTTTCTATTTTTTATTTTTATTTTTTCATTTTTGAAGCATTCATTTCACAATATCAGTTTTAATTGCTTGCAAAAGTTGCTTACACATATTTGCAAAAAGACTACTGGCACAGACTTGAGATCACTGTATGAAATGTAGAGAGAGAGAAGAGCTCAGAATCCTCTTTTGAAGATGACATGACAGAATCTTTGAACTTTGACCTGATCAGTCATGTGAGAGGTTGACGCTGAAATTAATTTGAAATGCTCCTCAGGGTGTCAAACTGTGAGGGTTAACCTCTCAGTGTCTGTGGCTAAAGCTCGACTCTCATGGTCGTGGGAATGATTCAGTGCTGGTTGACAGCTACTGTGTGAAATCCGAAACATAAACCAGCAGGGCTTTTAACACAGCGCTACATGTGATTCTGCTGCAATAACACTGCAAGCACACTGCACTAAACTAGTACAGCACAGAAACACTAATAAATCATTCTAAATGAAACCGGCTAGGTCTCATCTAACACTTTTTCATTCAAATCTTACATTGGATGATAAGTCTTCTCTGGTCCTCTCTGGAGTCTTCCATTGTATAAAGAGTCTGTTTAGTGATGCTGTTAAGGTCTACGTTCCTCCAATCCTCAAGCATCTGAAAGGTGATGTCTGCACTGTGGATCACAGTTCGAGAAGCCTGCAAGAGCAAGTATATAATTTCACCCTGCACTGTGACTGATCATATGCATTTGTGAAAACATGATGCAAACATGATGGAGAATTGGAGACTAAGAGAAAAATGTTCAATATTAAAAATAAAATTGCTGTATAGGCTACCTGACAGAGATGGTTTAATGATGTCTGTCGTTTAAGTATCTGGGAAAATCTTCTTGACACTGAGAATAAAACATATATTTATTCAAATATAGCCTTAGAATACCAGCAAGATTCGTTTTTGTTGTTTTTTATTCTCGAATATATTAGCCCATACATTCAAACTTTATGTTGCGCAAGTTCTCAGGCAGGTCATGTAATGCCACCTTCAGCCACTCGTCCAGCTGCTTGGCAAACTTCCTGATCACCTGAGTGAGGCTGCATTATTCAAAGCACACAAACAAGGATATAGTGTAGTACATTACACATAAGTACATTACACAGTACAAAGGATGCTCTGACGCACTGAAATTTTTGACCTTTTGCCTGGGCAATAAAAATAGGAGTCATGTGTCATTTATGGGAAATGTTCCCATCAGTTAATTACACTGACGTAAAAGTTTGATATGCAAATAATGCTAGCAATGATCCCTTTGGCAATAGTATTTAGGGTATATTATTAGCTTGAAGACAAAATTCCATTTGATCAAAGTTGATTGGTTGGTTGGTGTTTTAATGCCATGCCAGCTTTCTTGTCTATTTTCAAGGAGAAATGCCAATTTAAGTCCAATTTAAAAACCTACTTAAGGACCCTGGCATGAGGATCTTCATTTGATATTAAGAAATTGTGTGTGATTCTGTAATGTCTATTCGGCACTGTGTATATATGATCTGATTTCAGCTATTACTGAAAATAAAGATGCGGCTTTTACCACCAGTAGGGTTAATTTCATACAGCTTGTTGTTCTTACTGAGGCAGTTCTGATTATGTTGAATGTGAAATATAATGTCCAAATATGCACATAAAAAAATCTTTATAAGCTTGACAAATCTTCGTTATCCTATTAATATGTGCTTTTACTTGATTTTAACTTTCTAATGTCACCAAGCCCTCTTATTTTGTCAAATTCTCCCTTTTCTATATAGGTTCAACTTTTCTCAATCCACCCAAATCCCATAAATAAATCAGAATCAAATCCTGTCATAATTATTATTTTTTTTTTTGATTAAATATCCAATTTCACTCAGAATTAAGTCACGAGGAAATAAAATGGGTTGCATTTAGTTCTAGTTACTGCAGAACTTTCCAAAACTGCAAGTGCATAAATTGTGTTATACACTTTTTAACAAAATCAAAATAGGCAGGAATGGGACTCACCTGTCAGGCAGAGCCTGTAGGACGGTGGGCATGAGGACCCCTGAGATGGCCTTGTACAATATGGAGTCACACACACCAACTATGTTCACCACTGTAGAGGAGCCCAGGACAGGGAGCATGTGTGGCGGCATGCCCTGCCAAAAGTGCAACAGGAAGCTCTGGACCTAGGCATATACACAAACACAAATAAACACTGCGATAACACAATGCCACCAGATGAAAAAGCTTGAAGAAAAAGCATCAGAATGCAGACCTCATCAAAGTTGGCTCGTATGACTGTATCCAGTATCCTCTGGCAGTGAGTTCTGTACATCATGATAAAGGTTGAGACCTTGCAGAGGAAAAAAGCTCATTTGAATGACTTTTTAATAATACTTTCCCACAGAGAATAATTCACTTAGTGTTAATGATGTCATACCAAATTCATTCCTGACTCATGGCCATGCATTAATAAGACACTAAAAGACTCTAACACTAAAGAAAGAGGATACAAATACCAAACAACAAAAAAGCTGCTTTCATGAACAATGCCTATTTACAGGGTCTTGCAAAACCAGTGTATAAAAAGAGGTTTTAAAGATCAGAAACTCACAAACCATTTAAAATTACAGGCGCCTTTTTAAAGCGAGACAGCTAGTGCCCATTCTTTGTCCAATGCAAGATCTTATTATCTACTCGAAAGATTAAGAGTTCGCTAGGAACCAACACATAAATCCTCCAGGTCCTCATCTAAATCCAGGCCCAGGGAAGGTCCGTCTGACACATTGAAAGCAGGATCTAGGAGGGGTGGGTAGCGGGCAGGAGCAGGGAGAGGGGGGTTGGAGTTGGAGGTTAGCAGTTAAGAGTTTTAGTGATCTGTTTACCTTCTCCTCTGGCAGACTGGCAGGCAGATTTAAGTCTTTGACATTTGGAAATTCTGGCAGGAGAGTGCCCAGCTTGGAGCGCGGTGAATACGCCACTGTCTGTTTGGTGACTACTTTCTTGCCCGTCTCGTTCACCCACGCAGCGCCCTTTTTAGAGTACATCACATCGTAGAACTGAGAGCTCTCTTTCACAGCGATTCCATAGTAGTGATACCTAATAGGGACAAGCGAGTGGCAGGTTGAAAATTATACACGAGTTGTGGTTTGTTTGGTGACTAAAGCAGTTTTACTAAAGCAGTTAAAGCAGTCATGATTAGAAAGTGTTCATAATCTCTGCACTGGTACTTTTTTATACACATGAATAACTTTTTGTCATATCATCTATGGAGTGTAAATGGTGATACACCTCTCAATGCCTAAGATTCTCATAACTGCTTCTTTTTTGACAGTTCATTTGGTGCTGTAGGTGAGATAAAGCATGAACAAAAGTTGTGTACTTTTTGTTTGGCATGAAAAAAATGTAATTTCATAAATTATAAATAATTAATTTCTCTCTCTCCCTATAAATATATATATATTTTTTTATTATAAATGTAAAAAAGTGATCACCATGACATTTGGAAGAGAGCAACTTTTACACAGTGAAAAATAATTGTGAATAATTGTGCAAATTGATTACCAGATATAATTTTATTTTTATTTTTTGGGCAGTGTTCGGGAAAGCTAAAAGTAATGCATTACAATATTGCGCTACTCCCCAAAAAAGTAACTAATTGTGTTTTTAACTTTTTATGGAAAGTAATGCGTTACATTACTTTTTCTCACCTGGGCTGGGCTTGCTAATAAAAAATAAATTAATAAATAACACTTAATTCAGCAAAAAAAAAAAAAAAACTTGTTTAACTAAAGTAATTTTTTCCTTATTCGTATGGGTGAATTGGACCATCAAATGTGAGCAGTGAGATTAAATACATAATATACATTTGTGTTATTTAACCATCATGTTTACACAGCGCACACAACGCCTTAGCACTTACTCGCAATTTCTCTCAACATGGAAACAAAAGGGTCTCAATCAATAAATGGAAAACAAAGTAACTTGCATTATTTATTTGAAAATGTAACTCATATATTTTGTTGTAAATTTAAAAGTAATGCGTTACTTTACTAGTTACTTGAAAAAAAGTTATCTGATTACGTAACTCGAGTTACTTGTAATGCATTACCCCCAACACTGCTTGTGGGTTTCTGACTGTGACCTACTTGACAAAACATATTTAAAGTGACATGACAAATGTAAAAGGTTAGAAAAGTTCTCGAATATTGAATAAGGAACTTACTTTGACTGGCCTCTGGTTCCTAGTCTCCGTGTGGTTAACTGAGGAAACTGTTGTCTTATTATCTGATTGGATCAGGTAAAAAGAAAAAAAAATACACATATATTGAGCTTTTCTGGGCACATCTTTTGTGACATCAGTGTGTTATCTTTTACAACTATAACAAACATATCTTCTCAATCATCTTGTTAGATTCATACATGTCCAATGACATTTCTTTTCTCGCCAATCTCTCATTCTCTTTGTGCTTTTTGTCCATGAGCTCCTTGGTCCAGCTCCCGGTGCAGAAAACTTTGCAAACAGTGAAACTCTCTATTGTGTGGGATGAAAAAAAGAGGCCAAGCTGTGAAGTTTCTGTCAGGCTTGGCTTGATAAATGAGCAGACAGGGAGGCAGGTCCAGCTCTCTCTCTCTTTTTTGTCCCGAATCAATGAAGCCTTCCTAAAGGACACCCCACGCTGCTCCAGCCACTGATCTAACATTCCGCAACATCTCACCCTTCCAAATTTCCTTTAATTACACATTAATCCAGGCCCCCTCTCTTTTTCAATATCCTCCGACAGGACCCAGGGGAGCGGGATAAGGGTGTCGGGGGGCGGCTATATGAGTAGTTGGGTTGAAGGGTTGTGGGAACAAGGGTGAACATGTTCATTGTTTATATTGTCCAGCTATGAGTTTGCAGAAGAGGTGTAAGAAAAGACCACTGGCTGTGGCTCTTCATAATACCCAGTATTATGTCATGCTTTTTTTTTTGTAACAGATGTTTTCCTTCCTCTTTCACGTGAACATGCATGTTTATAAGTTCTTTGATGAGAGAAAACTCCACGATTACCTCATCAAAACTTGACTATCATAATACTATTGGAATATTTGACTTCATCACTGAAGCGTTGAATACAGGTTATTACCTTCCCGAAGCTTGCAGCATTGACCGGCTGAGAATCAAGTTTCTCGCAGAAGTCCAAATAATGCATGTACAGTGCACTGCGAGGAATACAAACACCCTCTGCGATCTCATAGTTCTCCTCCAACCTGATGAAAACACAGTTCGGTCAGGGCACATGGAAAGCTAGTGTCTAGAAAACACTTCTCAAGGCATCATATGTCAAAATTAAACCCTGTAATGAAACATGGAGGGAAGCATAACTGTAGTTCTAAAACAAATATCATTGCCTTATCATCTAATTACACTGTATGTACTGGATTCAAGCATTGGCCAACATGAAATTTTAGTTTATTTTACAGACATACTTTCAAGTAGTGCTTTCAAAATTATATGCAAAATGTTCTTGCACTTACAATTTTGTTGTGGCATATATAT